ATCAGAGAGGAAAAGAGGCACATGAAGAGTAGATTAGCCTTTGGTACCTTCATCTCACAAAGAGAGGGAGAAGTTGGGCCGAGCATCATGTCAAAGGTGATTGGAGTAGGGATAATGAAGGCAACATGTGGGAAGGGTCACTAGATGGCAGTGAGCGTGATGCCCTCAAAATGGCAGCAAGAGAGGAGTGAGATGTGGTGGGAGAGAATGGTGACTGTGGAGTGGAGGAGAAGCAGGAAAGGCAGAGTTGGAGGTCCATTGCAAAAAGCAAAGCAAGCTTGGACGTAAGGCACCTCAGACCATTTTTCACTGTGTTGACAAGAATTATCTAAATCCCAGAGGATATTAAAGTCGAATGTACTTGACGAGGAGCACAAGTTGACCTATTGTCTAACTGGTACTGGGGCCAAGCAATTTGGCAGAGAAAGGTGAGGCATTTGGTTTTGAGTTCAGTGAAACTGAGAGGGTAGCAGAGGACTGACTTGAGACAGGAAAGGACTGAGGTATGTTGCAGAGGGGAGATGATTGATTGTTCCTCATAGTGAGGACCAAGCAGAAGAGAGATGCCGAGATGGAGAGGAGGCTGAAGGCAAGAATCATCCATCCATACAGGGTCCCAAATGGGACACAGGACCCCGGCTCTCTGAGCAGGTGTCCTCAGTCAGAGAAGGGGTCGAGTATAGGAGAGAAGCAGCTCGGCGTGTGTTGACACAACTTTTAAGTGAGGGGCAGGAAGCCCAGAGGCACAGAAGCAGGAGGCAAGCCATTCCATAGAAAGATTACTGCCTTCATGGGAAGAAAAAGACAAAGAAGAAAACGAAAGTACAAAAGGTAAGTTTTTCAGGTGTAAAGTTTTGGAAAGTGCCCTGAAAGAGCTCTGTAATGACCCACTCCAGAAAAGAGTTGAAACAAGGGAAAGTGGTTGGGAAGTCCTGGAGATTCTGGGAGAAAATATGGGCAAAGGACAGAAAAAGGGATTGGAGCTGACGAGGAGGGGCAAGAGGAGAAGGGAAAGGCATAAATGGAACTCACTCACAATTTTGAAGTGTCTGAATGCTGGCATCAGCAAAGGATCAGCCCAAGGCTCATGGTCCACACAGGCTGCAGACCAAGGAGAAGCCCCTTGCTCAGGAGGGACAGGTCAAGGTTTTTGGCATCAGTAATGGACCAGAACCCATGCAAAACCGTTCTGCCATGAGAAGCATTGGGCAAGAAGCAGAGTGGATTGCCTCATGGACCAAGACACCCCGTTTGGGTGGGGAAAGGGTTTTTAAGGGTTGTTTAAAGGGGAAGCTCTGTGGATGGGGCCAGGTGCAAGCAGCAGATTGAGACAGAGTTGACTTTTGTGGTTGGAACAGTTCTGGGAAGTTTCTTTTCTTGCAGCCCTAGTATGAACAGGTTCCAGGGACAGGCTGACCCTTCATGCAGGACACATAATTTATGACATTATTTTCTAATAGTCACCCAAAGAGTTAAATATAAGAAGCACAGGAAATCTGTCCATGCACTAAAACCCCCCAAAAATCGGCTGAGGGCCCAGATCCCATGGCAACATCCAGCTGAAGACCTAGAGAACATGACAGTGCCCCTTCTCCCATGAGTCCAACTGGAGATATAGAGCCTGACTGTCTCATGAATCTGCACTGGAAGGCCCAAGGGTCAGTGGGGGAAGCTAGAAAGTCTGTGCCAGTGGGATGAAGGATCTGTGCCAGCAAGTTGAGTGTTCTGCACTGGGGCCAAGAAGCAATGCTCAAAATAAGGACCAGGTCTCCCCAAAAAGTACCACAGCCATCCTCATCCACAATGAGGTCCCAAGCTCCTCTAATCATAAGATCAGCAGAGTTCATATACAGGCAGCCAGCAAGACTAGCTTCTCCACGAGATTGAACAGCACACAATCTTCCCTCTGGAGCCAATAAGCAATGCTCAAAGTAAAGACGAGAACTTTCCCAAAGTCTTTCTCAGTAACAACAAGGTCCCAAGCTTCTCTGATAAGAACAGCCAAGTTTATATCAGGAAAGAAGCTTGACAAGCTCCTCCAAGAGAACTCATGGCAACAGGAAAACCACACACAGGAGAACCAGCAACATTCAACTCTTCCTCTCTAGTTCTCCTTTTTTACCTTGGCAGCAATCCTCAGGTGGGCCATCCACACTCATCACCATACTGATTCAGCTCAGCTGGTTTTACAAGTTGATCATGTTATCAATCCACCACACTAAGATTGACTTATTATAGAGTTTTTCCCTAAGCTGCTTTTAGGAAGAAACATAATTTAGGCCTGCCCATTCTGTACCATTACTCTGCCATGTAAGTGAGGGAGTTAATCTGATCTAGGAGAGTGTTCAATGTGCCTTGGATGCTCATCAAATTTTGATCATTCTATTTTCTTGAGGCAATCATTCACAGAGTTTAAGGCAAAAACCACAGCTAACAGGTAGTGAGGAAGTAAAGACTGTGATAAGCAACCTGAAAAGGCCAAGGGGAATGATGTATTAAGGTGTGGAGCAATCCTGTGAATGGTGTCTTCAGGTTTCAGCTGTACATGGACTGGTCAGCATTCAGAGTGACAAGTGCAGGGCTTTGAGTGTGTCATCTCTTCAGAATGAGCTGTCTGGTCCAGGTAAATTTTCTATCAGATCTGGATTTCTGAAGCTTGTAAAGGTAGTTAACATGCATATGGGTTATATATGCGTGCAGGAGTAGATACAGGTATAGCTGATAATAGGACCCTATAAACTCCTGCTGTCTTTTCAGTTCAGGTAGAGAATGTCTGAGTCCATCCTGAGTAGGTACAGGCAAACACTAACAGATATTTATAATCCTTGTAAGGGTTTATTTCTGTGTAATCTATCTATATATCTTTAAATGGGAAGAGTCCACTATATTGCATGAGAGTAAGGCCAGTGACACCGATGCTGAATCCTGAGCTGGCTGCAGATCTACAGGTGCCAGAACTGTGTGGCTTGAGCTCCCAGAACAAATGGTTGGGGCAGGTCTGGCTCTGATCTACAGGGTTACTTGGTAAAGATTTTCTGGTTAGAGTTGATGTCTCAGTCAATCAGGTCCACAGAAAGGGCTTAGGCCTCTGGATCAAATTATTTTGCTTTGGTGGCAGGTTCCAAGCAGCATCAGGAAGCAGAAGCAGGAGAGTTTTGACTGAAATAGCTTTGTTCAAGGTAATCAAGCATATCTAGCATATCATACTCCATTCCTAACAGAGCTACTTCCATCTATAAACAGTATATTCAGTATCTGTCAGGAGGTTCATTTTAAAGTCTGATCAGCTTGAAAGACTTTCTTAGTGCTAATTAATCATGGTCAAGTGGGCCCAGCTTGGCGGGCAGGTACATGGCAGGATTGAGTGTTTCTCAGTTATTCAGGTGGTCCAGTACAGCATATAGTACTTGAACACTTAGATCTCATCCTGAGCTGAGCTTTTCAGCTTTCTTGATCAGAAGGACAGTGGCTATTACAGAAGGAAGGCAGATGGGAGAAGGATTGGTTTTGTGAATTCAAGGATCCAGACTTTATAAAAGCCAGCAGCTCTAAGAAATCGGTGTAGTTTTTTTCTTATAATCAGTTTCTGCCAGATATTGTAGCAGAGTTTTGGTGCCTTTCCAGCAGGCAGTTTTTGTATCATTAATCAGGAGTGGCAGCAATTTTTTGTGCTGGAAAACTAGCAAGGTCAGCTGTGAGGGCTTCTCCAAAAACAGAAAACAAGTTTTGAACCTCTGGGAAGTTGAATCCAGGTCAGTTAAACTTTGAGTTAAGAACTGGGGTCTTAACATTTAAAGGCAAAGAGAAGCTGATTGACAGGAGTCAACTGAAGTCCAAAGAAGGTATTCTTTAGGTCCAGGCAGGTGTACCAGCAGGCTATGGGTGGCAGAAGACTGAGGCAATCTGTATGGAGGGTAATCATGGTGCCATGGGAAGTTCAAAGATATTACACTGGCTTCAAGGCAAGAGAGTTGTATTTCAGCAGTTTGACAGTCTATAAACATTTTACAGTTTTGAAGCCTCTGGACATGTGGTTGAATTTCTAGCCAAGTCTCAGGTGGCATGGGAATCTTTTATGCAGGTGGTGGTTATGCCAGGATAGAGTGTCACAATCAGAAGCAGGTGGCTGATGGATGAATCTCAGGGTCCAGGGGACTGTGACAGAATTGTGAAGCTGGAAGGGACAGAGAAACAAGCTGTCTTGCAGTGGCAAAATCTGTTGCTCCCCCAAATAGGGAACTCTCCCAAATAGTGGCAATTGAGTCCAAGTGAGCTGGTGTATTCATCCTGTCTCAGGATCCTCTTATGGGAGCAACCCACAAGCATAAGGCATCTTTTATTTCTATTTTCTTTTTAATTTTTTAATTTTTATTTTGAAAAGAATAAAACAAAATGAGAAAAAATAGGGTCATTCAAAACAAAAGGATGGACATAGTACATAATTTAAAACTACAATACAAGGTGTTCTACAATGGTTTCCATGATGTCTCTGGTTATCTTCAATAGAATTGCCCATATCGTCAGGTACAATAAAATTGAACATAGCAGTACAGAACAAAATCAATAAAAACAAAACATTAGAGACATTATAGGACTTCAAAAGAGGGTAATAGTCAAACCAGATTGAGTATCATAGTGAATTTTGTCTTCAGTGTAGTTGCCCATACTCTCAGGCTTGATACTATCAAACATAACAGATTCGAATAAAATCAGTCAAGACAAGACAGTGATCAAACAAGTCAGATTCAAATAAAATCAGTCAAATCAAGGCAGTGAAAGCAATACAGGGTTTCAGATTAAGTTAATAGGAAATTAAAAATGGTTACTATAATATATCCTGTTATCTTTGGAATAGCCCTCAAATTTGAGGGTCTGTGCCCTCAAATCTAGTACAAGTAGACAAACTGGAACAGAATATAACCAAACTGTCTTACTTTTTACTCGTCGCTGAGACAAAATACCTGAAGCCCAAGTTGGGAAAGGAAAGGTTTATTTCTTACAGTTTTTGGAGGTTTCAGTCCACTCAGTTGGCTCCAAGGCAGGGTGGCATGGCTGGGCCGCAGTTCATGGCAGCTGCCAAAAACAAGCAGGAACCAGCAAAGGAACCACCTTCTTCCTGCCATTACATCACATCCTGGTTACATCCCTATGTGGCAGTAGCACTAACACCATCAATCCAAGCACTAGACAATGAAGCACCACAAATGCACAGTGCAAACTTATGAGGCCTGGGGGACACAGACATAAACCATGACACAAACTAAACAGAGCAATGAAAGCAATATGGGTTTCAAATCATGATACAAGATTACCAGTGTCCTCTGCCTTCCATATTTAAACAATTCTTCCCCTTTCACTTTCCCAGGGTGCATTGTACATTTTGTATCTCACTAACTCCTTTAATTTTTAGATAAGAGAGACAACCCGCTATTCACCTAAGTGGTTCTGAACCTTTGTACCCCTGAGCTTGGTCTCAAGTTGTATCCATTTACCTGCAAGAGCCTCAATGTTTTCCTTCCATATAGCCGAGTAGTTCTCCATTGTAAAAAAAGTGTTACATCTTTCCAACCAATCTATAGCTGATGGACGAGCCACCCTCACTTTTTTCTGGTTCCTTGTCACATACAGCATTATTTTCTCATCTTTGATTTTCAGTCCATAAACCTTCTTTCAGGTTAAATATATTTCTTATATAAAGCATCTTGACGGACCCTACCTCCTGATCCACTCTGCCTGTGTTTATTAGTGTATCAAGGCTATCCATGTTAGCAATTATGGCCAACCTTCTCTGCCTCATCTCTGCCATGCTATTTTTCTGCCACTGGTTGTGTACTTTCCCCCTTCATTCCACTGTCTGCTCTACTCAGTGAGCCTCCTCTGCTGCTGTTCTTAAAACCATGGTTTTTTTCCTCTCTCTCTAAAATGTCCTTCAGTATTTTTTGTAGGGTTGGATAGGTGGTCATGAACTCTCTCAGTTCATATTTGTCATGGAGCATCTTGTTTCTCCATTAATTTTGAAAGATAGTTTTGTAGGGTACATCAATCTGGGTTGGAGGTTTTCTTTCAGGGCTTGGAATACTTCACTCCAAGCTCTTCTTGATTTCATGGTTTGTGTTGAGAAGTCTGTCATGATTCTGATGGGTTTTCCTTTATAGGTGATCTGTTTCTTTTCTCTGACAGCTTTTAATATTCTGTTCTTAGGGGCTGGGGATTTAGCTCAGTGGCATAAGCGCCTGCCTTGCAAGCAGGCAGTCGTGAGTTCAATCCCCGGTACCGATAAAAAAAAAAAAAAGGAAAAAAAATGGGGCTGGGGATTTAGCTCAGGCCATAAGTGCCTTCCTTGCAAGTGTGCAGTTGTGAGTTCAATCCCTGGTATGGATAAAAACACACAAAAAAATTCTGTTTTGTGTTGAATTTCTGGGATCTTTATTATATGTCTGGGTGTAGATCTATTTTGGTTATAGCTCACTGGAGTTCTGTATGCCTCATATATCTGGATAACATTTCCTTTCCCGATGCTTGGAAAGTTTTCTTTAATTATTTCCATAAATAGCTTTTGTATTGGGGCTGGGGATTTAGCTCAGTTGCATAAGCACCTGCCTTGCAAGTGCGCAGCCATGAGTTTGATCCCTGGTACCGGTAAAAAAAAGAAAAGAAAAAATTGCCTTTGTATTTCATTTTTCTTTACTCCTGCTTCTTCACTCACATTTTTTATTCTTGAGTTATAGATCCTTTTGTCATCTTCTAGCCTTTGCATTGTTACTTCCTGGTTTCTTGTTATTTTTAAGAGATCTTTCCTTTTGCAGTCACACATTGCAGACCTGTCTTCAAGGTTTTAGTCTATCTTTAGTTTCTTTCAGGCAGTTTACCAGCTTTCAATGGAGTTTTTAATTTCCTGGTAGTCTCTTTGAATCTGTTTCATGTATTCTAGATTTTTTTATATTCGTCATCAAAGGTTTCTCTCCTTTTTCTGTGCCCATCCATTCTTCCATCTGTGTCTTGAGAAGTACTTAGCATTTCTTTTATCATTTTCCTTATATATTCCTTTACTTGTATTAGGATTTCTGTTTTCAGTTCTTTTATAATGTCATGAAGATAATTCTTTATGTCAGATGCTTTTTCAGACACTGCAGGATGCAAACCCTGATCTCTTCTGTGTTTACATCTCCTGGGCCAGTAGTGTTTGTGTTGTAGGCTGGAGACTTCCTTTTGTTTTTTATCTTTTCACGTTTCTGGTTTCTTCCAGATGACTGGTTAATGGGGGGCCTCAGCACTTCCTGTATTGGCTACAATTACTCAAAACATACTGGCTAGGGATTGCTACTCTTCCTGGTCTGCTGCTGACCACTGAAGTACAAGCTGAGGCAAGACAGGCTGGCTTCTCCCTTCTGAGCTGGTCAAGCTCTGCGAGTCTTCACTACGTTATTGTGTGCCGCACAGATGGAGCTGGTTAGGTTTAGCTTCAGGGAGACCTCATGCTTTGCTACTGGATTGTGCACAGAGGCGGGACTCAGTCCAAGCAATTCTTACCAATCTGCTCTGTGCTAGAACTGCAGCTGCTGCAGTTCTGGTTCTGGGCTTATCCTGCCTGACTCCAAAATGTCACCTGGCCAATCACCCACTCCCACAGGAGGACTGATTTCTGCACATTCACTGTGCGCTGGTACAGATCTCTGAGCCAAGTGCTGCTCTCTGCTCCACCACTCCCCACCATGACCACTTCCTCTTATTGAGGCCCTCAGGCTCACCAACCCCCAACTTCACTGTGACCATGCATCTTTGGATTCCAGCAGCATTTTGTACACAATGGGACCAGCTTCAGTGACAGCCGGTCTGGCTACAGCCTTCCATCCACGATTTTCTTTTCTTTTTCCTTTTTTTCTCTTTATTTTCTTCCTGGGTCTAGAGGATCTGTCTCCTTCTGTCTGGTCTTCTCCAGGATGTTTCATTCCAGCATCTGAGCTGTTTCTCTCAGAGAGGCTCTTTATTTTGCTGCTTACTGATCTGCCATCTTCCTGAGTTTCCCCCCATAAGGTATCTTTTAAATCTAGACATATAAACCAGGTGGCATCTGGGAGTAACAGTCCAAAAGGTAGGTACAGATTAACAACCACAGAGTAACAGTATATTGCTTTAAGTGGCTGATGTATGGCTGCATGCCTTCTTAGGGCATCTGACAGAAATGTGGGTCACAGTGAGGGGGCATGGTTGATGGCTATGCCAGAGGCGAGTCTTTGCCTCACATCTCTGGAAGGAGAGTATCAGAACTTCAGGATTGTGGTTATGTGTCTCAGGCTGATGTAGGCATCATCTTCCTCTCAAGAAAAGTATAGGGCTAAATAAGAGGAAGGCTGACTGTCTTGGTGACAGGAATTTATGTTTGGTGAGATGTTCTCTCAAGCTTCAAGTTCATGTCCAGTAGCAGGAGACAGAGGCAAGAGTCTCAGTTGCCTTGGTGATGGCACCTTCTTGACAGCATTTTTGAAGGCAGAGAATACTATCTCATTGTCTGCTAGGAAAGTCACAGGGTCTACTTGTGACTTTTGCAATGATTGAGGGCTCTTGGGAACCCAGTTTGATACAGCTCAGTCTGCCCTATCCATCCAGACCTGATAGGGTGAGGAGAGATTCAAGTTGAGATGGGACTGGACAGTCAGGTATCTAGGCATCTTGCAGTCCGAGGAGGCATTTATTTTTTGTGTTCATAACTATTATAACTTGCATCCAGAGGGTATCATTGTGTATCAGACTGGATTTTCTTATGGATATCAGGTACTTTCCTTTTACCAGGTTTTTGGGTAACAGTGGTTAATAGGTTTTTTGTCCTCCCTCTTTGATACTTTTGAGAAATGCTTGACTTATTTTATCCTTCTGGGCAGGGTGGAATTTTGAGAAAAATACAGGCAACTCATTCATCAAGGATGACATTTCAATTTTTCCTTAGTCAAAATATGGCACTCAGAAAGAATTGGTGACAGTCAGCTCAGGTGGGTGTTAGATGACACCATCTGACCAGGATAGGCATGTCTCCAAGGCAGTCCTATAGAGACAGTGCAGACAATGACTGATTACACTGGAACTGGTTCAATTGGTTGAAATTAGATGAGTTGGGATTGGAGATGAAACAATTGGCAGCAACTGTGGTGGCCAAGAAGGGTCCTAAGGCAGAATTCATAGGAAAAATGAGCTGCTTCTTTCTTTTTCTTCCTTTGAGAGCAGTTTGGTTCAATCCCTTTTTCCTGCAGTCAAGGACTGTGGGTTTTCATTAGTTAGTTCCCATCTCTGACTTCCTATGTATATACTGTATACAGTTAACAATGGTGCAACAGACAAAGTATGGGTGCCCCTCAGAGACAAAGATCACTCAGATGTCTACCTAGCCATGTCCCTCATGAGAATTTAGGTGCAACTTAGTTAACGGGGGTATGCGGCCTCCATTATGCCATGTCAATTGCCATGGAACTGCTGGTGAGACCCCACTCAGCCACCAAAGCAGTGCTTCCCAATCTTAGTACACAGGTGGAGCAGCCTATGGCTTATGCTGTTCATTTCATACTCATACATTGATTCAACAGGCATTAAGAGGTTAAATATTCCAACCCTCTTCCACTGATGGTGGTTCTGACTCTCCTTTTGCTTGAGCTGAGTAGGACTGACAGACTAACTGGGTTGCCCCTGAGTGCCTTACTGGCAGGGAGGCAGGTAGACAGTCAGACTGTATCCTCTTCCCTTTGGAGTCCATTGTGAGCTGCTCAAGTAAGGAGCTATGAATCCTCCTCCAGATCTTTGAGAGGACTGGAGAAATGTTGAGAGTAAATCTCCCTTTCAGATCTGGAGAGGTTTCTGCTCCATCTGTGAGGGTCACAACCAGTGAACAAAGAGATTAGCATAGTTGTTCTTCTTTGCAAATGCATCAGATGCAATGGCAACAGAAACACTGAAATGACACCCAGAATTTAGAGGCAGATTTATTTAACACCAGAAGGGTACTGAGGAGGAATCAATTGTTCCTTAAAATGTCAGGCCTCGAAGGCCTAGAGAGGGAGGTTTTTATGGGTTGCAAAAGGAGAGGGGGTACAGAGGTAAAGAATTTGCTGTCTTTGATTCAACCACAGTGATCAGCTGTTTCTAAATACAGAAGCAACAAGAACTGAAACAGGAACTATCACCTGGTCAACTGAAGTATACTGGTTGGGCAGGCATTTTCTGCTACAAACTACTTCACTTGGTTTTATATTTTCATTTGAGTAAGCAATGTGTCTTCTCTTTATGGTTCACTTCAATACAACTAGGCTTTTTCTTCCAATCCTTTTTTCTTGTGTCCTACAATCACCCAAAACTTGGATGATCATTCTTTGTCCTCAAGCCTTGTTCCTACTATATTTAACCTCATTCATTCTCCATCCCACCCCTATCTCTCTTAACCTCCCCAAAAGAGTAAAATCACTCTAATAAGTGGGAAATCATAAAAGTACATGGTACAAATTGGATTACATTATATAACTTAGAACTTGCCTCTATCATTAAAGGTGTCAGGCTAATAGTTACCACAATTTGTCAGTAGCCAAGTTGTGCTTAAGTCTATTGTCAATGCTGACTGTACTACTTTCACTGGGATGCCATACCTGTTATAATCATTTTTTCTTCCCTGTATGACAACACTGTGATTGTAAGGGATCATAAACCATCACCATAGCCCAGTAACAAAGCAGTAAGTCTTGAATCAAATAGACAGCAACTTCACATTCTTAATATATTAGGAAGGTAGGTTCTTGGGATAAACATAAAGACTCAGAGCCACCTACATCTAGAAGATATCCTGAGGAAGAGACATTTCCAAAGGAAGCCTCAATACCAGAGATAAAGCTGTCTAATGTAAGAAAACTTCAAGCATCAACACAGAAAACAGAAAATGACAAGACAAAGAAGCAAAATGCAGTCCCAAATGCCAGCCCACACAGCACAAAGAGAGAGAGGAAATTAGAAACCAGTCACTGGAACTCTCTGAAATTCTAGCAGCAGAAGTGAAAAATCATATGTAAAAGGCTACAGAAAAAATCATTTATAAGGTGGAAAAAGAAATGACCATTAAAATTAAAGACATTAAGTGGACACAGATTTTTAAAAATAGAGTAGCTCAGGAAAACGATGGAAATCATAAATGCCCAACATAAAAAAAGAAATGTAATCAATGAAACAAGCCCAAATAGAAATCCAGGAGGTTAAAATCTCCACTGAAAGTATACGCAACACACTGACTGAAGGCAAGGATAGAATATCAGATCAAGAAGACAGGATTATCCTTGATGATCAGGAAAAGAAAGATACCTTAAAATAACAAAAGACCATGAAAAATCAATAAAACAGCTATATGATGAAGCAAAGAATAACAAATTGAGATTGGAGTCAGTGAAAAACCTAAAGATACCACAAAAGCCATTAAACATTTCTTCACAGAAATGCCAGAAACTTCCAATATGGATAAAAAATTAACAAAGTATATAGAACCCCAAATAGCCATGGCCAAAATAAATCTATGCCGAAAGAATAATCAAGATTCCAGAAATTCAGCTCAAAAACAAAATATTAAATGCAATTACAGAAAATAAACAAGTTACCCACAAAGGAAAGCCCATCAGAATCACAGCAGACTTCTCAACACAAACCCTCAAATCAAGGAGACTCTGCAATGAGGAATTTCAAGCCCTAAAAGAAAACAGACTTCAATTCAGATTGATGTAATCTGCAAAACTATTCCTTCAAAGTTAGTGGAGAAATAATATACTTCCAAGAAAAAGAACAACTGAAGAAATTCATGATCAACAACAACAAATGCTGGAGATGGAGAGGCTGTGGGGAAAAAGGAACTCTCCTACACTGTTGGTGGGAGTGTAGACTGGTATAACCTTTGTGGAGGTCAGTCTGGAGATTTCTCAAAAAGCTGGGATTGGAAGTCCCATTTATTCCAGCTATTCCACTTCTAGGCATAGTCCCAGAAGAACTGAAAGCATCATACCACAGTGAAAACATACCACCTATGTTTATAGCAGCACAATTTGTAATCGCCCAATCTTGGAAACAACCCAAGTGTCCATCAACTGAGGAATGGATAAAAAAGTTGTGGTATTTCTATACAATGGAGTATTACTCAGCTATAAAGAAGGATCACATTGAGATATTTATCAATAAATGGGCGCAGCTTGAGACCATACTCATAAGT